CTTTTTCTGGATTGCAAGACTAATGTGCGCACAGTGATTAGGTATTCTAATTCTTCCTTTTTTCTTTCTTTCATTCTTTAGAGCTGCCTATTTCAGTAGGGGCTGAAATGGGTTTGTGTCTTGTTGTTTTAAGTGCTGCTTCATGCAACATTATATCTTTACACAGACTTCAGAACGTAAAATCACAGTTAGAGCTACTTTACCTTGCGCAGGTTTCTTTGGATGCCCTCATGGGTGGCACGGAGCAGCGCTCTGATAGAGAAACTGTCTGTGTCCTCTTTGTCCCCGATTTGAGACTCTTTCATAAGTGAGTCTAGTTTCTTCCTGATGTGGGACTCCACCTGGTGCTGACTGGACCCATTGGACTGAAATTCAGTAAGTAGAGTGTCAAAATCTGCAGTTTATAAGTAATCTTTTTAAGAGCATAATAAAGAAAATAGCATATATTATTTCTAGGAAGAACTTCCACACAGCAAACTTAAGATATAAACTTAACTGCCTTAATAAATCAGATTTACAGAACAGAAACTCTATCTTGCATCAAGCTTGATACAAACTTTTCTTTTTCCTTTTTTCCTCAAAAGAATTGATGAATAGCTCAAGATTTTATGTTGCTTCATAAAAGCCTTGATAAACAGGTTTATAGATCCTTTTCAATGTGTTTTTTCGAATGACTATGACAAAAACAGGCTCAACACTGAAACCTTTCTTCCATGTACACCTTTGCTATGCAGAAAAATTATGCTTACCCTCGTGAAAAAGAAGTATTTTTAAAACTACTGAATGTGAACTTTTAGTATACTTCAAATCATCTAAGTACTGCAAACCACTTAAGTGTACTTAAAAGTAATCACTCAGCTGCACTTTTTAATAATGTCCAATATTTAAATTATTATGTGCTAATAATCTTTTGTCGTGCTGTAAAGTCTGACCTCTGACTAACATTCTAAAGCAAAGTAAAGTATTTATTTTTAGTTTACCATAAATGCATTCAGCTGTTCACCTTAATCATATTACAAAGACAATACCTGTAATTATGAAATTACATATAAATATGTACTTACAGTCCTTACTTTTAATTTAATGGCATTTAAAATCCAACTCTCTGAAAACATTACATTCAGTTACATTTTTTAAAGTATAATTTCCTTAAGTACT